ATATTATTTATAAATATTGAGTGAAATTGATAGAATGGCAGAAAAAAAAAAAAAACTCAGTCCATTTTTTTTTTCACTGACATCAGTTTTTTTTTTCTCAAAAATCAAACTCAAATTGAATAAATATAATCAAATTGAATACATGTGATGATAAATAACACTATAACAAATCAAAAGGCTATAAATTTAACATATTATTTGTAAAATATTAAGTCAAATTGATAGAATGACGGGGAAAAAAAAAACAACGCATTCCATTTTTTCTTCACAGACATCAATCTTTTTTTCTCAAAAAATCAAACTCAAATTGAATAAATATAATCAAATTGAATACATGTGATGATAAACACACTATAACAAATCAAAAGCCTATAAATTTAACATATTATTTGTAAAATATTGAGTAAATTTGATAGAACGGCCGAAAAAAAAAAAAAAAAACGCAGTTCGTACTTGTTTTTCGTGCACTCGTGACTTCAAATTCAAAATTAATATGTATTCGTCCAAAATACGAACAAATTATAAACAAAAACTTCTGAACAACACTCTTACGATCATTAACCCTCATATTTTACAAAAAATGATGCCCCCTTTTGCTTAAAATAAAAGAAATGATGAAACCCTAAAACTTTTTTAGGGTTCTTCACAGATCCAAGTTTTTTTTGATAAAAATCGGTAATTTTTACTACCTTTTATTGACTGAAATGGCTAAAAAAGTTAAAATAAAGCCTGCAAGATTCAATTATACAGATGAAAAATGATAAAAAAATGACAAAAAACCATGAAAATAGTAAAAAACATAATGCAGCCCGTGTTTTTGGACGAGTCTCAACAGTGACTCGACGATTTACTATTGGGAATCGCTCGATTTTCTCTAGACACGGGAGATTCTCGATATTATAGTAGAACCGACACTCCCTCTGCCGATTCCCGAGTTGAACCGACTCGTCGAGTTTCCAAACCCTGTTCTCACCTCTTTTCTCGAGGCTTGAAAACAATTTCCGATCCCCCCAACAAGAAAAGAGAAGTGAAGAGCTAGAGAGAGAAAGTGTTGGCGCGAGGATGAGTTGAGGCGGAATTGGGTAAGCATTGATGAGCATTGAGAAGGATGCATGTGTTTGAATAGAAACAAAGCTTAAATTTTAAAAAATCTATTGAGAGCCAATGCTGGGAATCTATTAATAGCCATCGCTGCTTTTCCATATGTCCAAATTTTATACTATATTCAAGAAATTATGATTCGCCTTGTCTCTATTGACTTGACCCCACCATGTGTTCCAAAACTAGCAAAATTGATCCTTAATAATATCTTTAAATTCATGACTTTTATTCCAAAACCAGCGTTCTAAAACCAACAAGATTGGTCCTTAATAAACTCTCGAGATTCGTGAGTGAAGCAAGCTGTAATGACTTGTGTTCTGAAACCAGCGTTCTGAAACCAGCAAGATTGGTCCTTAATAATCTCTCGACATTCATGAGTAAATCAAGCACAGCTTGCTTCACTGTAATGCTCTGCTCTGTGCAAACCACCTCTTTGAATATGTGAAATCTTACATCTTGTTGCTGGTTTTTTTAGAGAGCAGAAAAGGTAGAGGGTGAGAAGAGACTGAAGCGGCGAAGAGGGAGAGGATGAGAAGAGACTGAAGAGGTGAAAACTAGAGCTACGGGCCTAGCCTCTATTTGCTGAGTTTGTTTTTTAGCGAGCAGAAAAGTTAGAGGGTGAGAAGAGACTGCAGCGGCGAAGAGGTAGAGGATGAGAAGAGGCGAAAACTAGGGCTACGGGCGAGGCCTCTATTTGCTGAGTTTTTGGGAGAGCGAAAGGGAAAACTCAGCGGCTCTCATTTCTTAGAGAGAGGAAGAGGCGAAAGCTAAGGCTACGGGCCTGGTCTCCATTTGCTGAGTTTTTTTTGCCCCTATTTTTTGAGTTTTTGGGAGAGCGAAAGGGAAAACACAGCTCTCATTTCTCAGAGAGAGGAAGAGGCGAAGGCTAGGGCCGCGGGCCTGGCCTGCTGTTCAAAGAAGATAAAAACCATAGGCACATGCATTATTTTGTAAAATAAGTCCCATACGAAGTCTTGTAAGATTTTTGAGAAAGTCCCATGGGAGGGCCTGAGCCACTGTTTCTGGAGAGAAAAATGCTACTAAGCTTGAATAGAAACAGGTTAGAGAGAGAGGGATGAAGCAGGGAGAAGAAAGAAGGTAAAGCAGGAAGGAGAGCAGGGAGGGAGGAGAGGATAGAGCGCTACTAAGCTTGAATAGAAAGAGGTTAGAGAGAGAGAGAGAGACATGAAGCAAGGAGGAAAAAGAAGGTAAAACAGGAAAGAGACTAGGGAAGAGCGTGAGGCGCGAGCGCGTACGGTTTTAAGAGAAACATGACCCAAAAGATTCGAGTCGGACTTAAATATTTTATTGTTCGTGATTTTGGGGTAAAGGGATATCTTGATTAGAAATTTTTATAATGTTATCATAACGTTTTTTATATTTTATTTTAATTTTTTTTTTTGTTATTTTAAAATGTTGTAATTTTGGATACATCCAAACTGGCACTCAAGTGTTGGAAAACCTTTACATCCATCATCTTTGCTTGAATATTATGGTCGTAAAAAAATATTAGAATTTCAAGCTCTAAAAATAGAATATATTATAATAAATTATTTATATCATCTATTTCGACCTAAAAATAAATGACCTATATCTGCAAGATCTGCATATTGTTTGAGTTTTAAATTTTATTGTTTGTGTTGAAAATTGATTTTAGAGCCCTCATTGATATTTGGATTGTTTGAGGTGAAGCTTTATTTATTTTCCATAAAGCCTAGGCTTTATAGAAACTTCATCCTAAAAAGAAAGTTTCCTTTTTTAAAAAAAAACAAATTGTTAAGACAAAAGTTGATATTCTCTTGTATTGATTTGTGATCCTATGAGGACGTTTTTCCCCGTAAATTTCCTACTTTGAATGGACCCAATATCAAAATGACCAAATCTTGCCAGAAGCAACCATAAGCCAATAATGTTTTACCATACCTAAATTTTTTTTGGGATTGTATACTAGAAAACTATTCATCCTTGTTATAAAGAGATCACGATTAGTTCTAGTCCTCAAAGGCATATTAGGTTCATGTGAAAATATTTTTTGAGAAATATATTTTCCAAAAAAATATCTTTATATAAAAAAGCCCCTCATATGGTTAGGTATGAGAATCAATTGGTGTGAAAATATTATGAGATCTAACACAAACGTGCCCTAAATGTCTAATTGGCTAGCTTGTAACGTATCATAAAGTTTGAGAATATTTTTTTTTTTGTTAATTTTGAGTTTAATCATAACATTTAATGCTCCCAATTTAAAATTTGACAGACAAAAATTGATATGACTTCATTGTACGAAAAGTAAATAGTCTCTTTATAAGTTTTTTCCAATTCCTTTGGCTATGATGATCTCATTGTTTCTAGAGCATAAAAAACATTGGGCTCTCATGAGTCACAGTTATCTAATGCTCAATAAAATTCACCAAAAGAATCCCGTTCTACTCAACTGTCTGAATGAAACTGATTATAGGGTTGGCACTGACTTGGACCCAAACCCGAATTCAAAAATATCTTATGGGATCCAAACCCGGAATTGATCATGTACATAGGATCCAGATCCAGATCCAAATAATGTGGTACCTAGATACGGACCCGATCTATACAGTTAAATATATTTCATAAATTAAACATATTTTTTATATAAATATATATAATTATTTAAATTATAACTATAAATGACTATTTAATATTATTTAAACATCATAACTATTTAGGAGGTCAGGTCCAGGTCGGGGTCTACATGGACCTGGACTTAGACCCAAACAATGGTAGGGTTCCAAGATTTAAACCCAGACCCGACCTACCGGATCAAAATTTTGTACCCATACCCCGACTTTGGTTGGGTCTACCCATTGGGCCTCGGGTAGGGTCCGTGTCCATTGCCACCTCTAAAAATGACGGGAGCAATTGTTTTGTGGTCATGTGGGACCGGATTCTATGTCTAGCCTCACAGTAAAAACACCACCTTCATATGATCTTGGATTCAACTTTTGATAAATTCCAAGAGAAGAACTCAAAATTTTGATACCTTAAACCTCGATAATCTTTGAACTAGAATTAGTTTGGAGGATTACTTTAGGGACCCGGTTTCTATGCTGCCAGCCCGCATATTGTAGAAATGCGGGCTTGGCAATAAATATATTTTTTAAGTATATTTTGATTCTAATTTTTAGAGAAGATATAATCTTTAACAATGGAGATCATACTTATGAAAAAAAAATATATTGAAAACTAAAAATAATAATTATAATACAAAAACATTTGAATCGTTAGTTACACTTGTTTTTAGATGGATCACCTACTTGCATCCATCTTTAATATGGATGTTTTATACCTCTGGACCGCATATTGTAGAAATGCGGTCCAGCCCGCATGAAACAATTTTCCTTACTTTAACTCCAAATAATTTTTCTTAATAGATTGATTTTAGAAATAAATAATGATGATTGGGAGTTTTGGGGTCAAGATATGCTTCTAACAGGCTGCCAGGCCAAATCTACAGATTTGTTGTGTAGGACCAGCAAATATTTTTTCCAATGGGGCATAAGAGTTTTGCATTACCCTCAGCTGTCCCAGCATGCCATCCAATGATGTGCTAAATGAATATAATTTGGGGTAAATCTCACTATGTATGAAATAAGTATAGCTACCTATATAATGCTAAACAATGAAAAATCCATTCAGCAATACCTTTCTTCTTGATGAGGTTATTGGAATTTAAGTAGATGCTTTAGAAATGTGGAACACAAGTATAGAATCTCTAGTTCACTCATTCCTCTTACTCTTCATAGGGGTACACAAAAATAAAAGGGTACATGAAAGAGCAATAATACATAAACCGCATAATAAGAAAACCCATTCCACATTCCTTTGTTTGCGCAGAGAATGAATTAGATGATATTTAAATATAGTACATAAATACAGAATATCCAGTTCCATCCCCCATCCTCTTTAATGGAAATTGCGCAATATAAATTGAAAGAAAAATATTCTTGGATGAAATAATAGAAAAGAAACAATAATACATATTACACTGCCGCGTTATGAGTCAATATTGGAAATTGGGCCTCTGAACCAGTGTCGAGCGCTTAAGATCCATGAGGAAACAGTGAGGATTAAGAGACCACCAACTGCTGCTGGTGTGTAATTGAGTGTATCTTTAGTTACGGGGTAGGCAACCGGTAGAGAGAAGAGCACAGTTATTGTGGCAACCCAAAGAACGGCCACCCAACCTACTAACAAGCTATATCGGCCAAGGTTGAAGGGGCCTCGAACAAATGACTTGCGAGCTAGTGTTACTCTTAACAAGATTGGGAATGCATATGCTATGTATAGTCCAACGGTTGCGATCGAGACCATTGCTTGAAATGCAACCAGGCTGTCAAGGGACTGTGGAGAGAGAGAGAGAGAGATGCATCATTCGTTCATTAATACAAAGTAAGAATCAAGCAACATAGGAAACTCCACTGAATTCATAGCTCTCTCTGTCTCACCCACACCCACACACACACTCGCACATACACACATAAAAACAGCAGCTTTGATCGTTAATTCTAAGGCAAGACTTAAAACAAGATGAACTGATATGAACACTGTTTGACAATGTGGGCTTTGGTTAGTGGTGTGACACTTAGTTTGCATGAGGGAGGTTAAAGGTTTAAAACTTTGAAGCTTGTTCTCATGTAAACCAAGCCAACCAAAACAAACGGTGATCAAGAAATTCAATCAGCGTAAAAGTTAAACGAGCTACAAAATGAACTTCTTGGATATCAAGAAAGTATGCCTTGTTATTTGGATAAATATAACAAAAATAGCCATCGAAAAACAATCAATTAAGGCCTGCCAAACTCCATGTTCATATTTCAAAAAGCATGGGGATAAAGAGGGCCATTTAGAGGTTAATTCACCCTGTTTCATCTTTCTTGGCCTACAAGGGGATTCCCCATAATCTCATGAACAACAATCTTAGGTAAACTAAGCATAAGAATGACCTCAACAAGGACAGGGATTTCCCATATTTCATGATAAGAAATGAGACTTAGTAGGGTTTGATTGTTTAGATGCACTCTCAGGATGTCACAGTTACTTCTGCCGCAAATCCTTCTTTAATAAATATCATGAGTGGGTGTATTAGAGACAGAAATTTGGCAGGTTCAAGATTCATAAAAATATGATTTTTCTTTAATGACAATCAAATTTTAGTTTTTTTCCCTTATCAACATCCAGTTCAATCCTCCAGGACAGCCACTGAGACCAACCTGCCATACTTCATGAACTGTGTTAGTTGATATTGTTCACTCAGAGGCTTCATACTTATTCTCGCTTTTGATTTTTTATTCTCTTTATTATTTCACTTATCTGGATTCCCAATAGGAAGAAATTTTCAAGTCATAAGAACATATTTTCCGAGCCAATCGAGGTAATCAATGGCGATGCTCATTTTGCAAGCCTATTGATTATGGGTTGTCCTAATTGTTGTCCAAGGATGGATTAAGCAGTTGCCATTCACTGCTTCTGGCTGCTTAACCCTGCTCCCCAGTTCTTCCGTAAAGAACTTCCCTCATCCCTTAGTGGACCCCTCCCTTAGCCACCAAAAGGAAAAAAAAAAAAGAATCCCTATAATTACTATAAAAAAAGCTCAAAAATCATAACCACAATAAGGGAAATGATTCACAAAGCCTGCTCATTACATGATCCTGCTTATTGCACTGCATTCTAAAACATAGGGGGAATGCTTTGAGATGCAATGCGCCATCTTGAATTACCACAGGGGTCAAAATACATTCCCCCCACGCTTCATGTAAAACTTTATTAGTCTAACTCATTGAACAGTAGAAAATGTCTCATATTTAGAGCATTTCATAAAGATCATGGCTTGCAATAGGGAATATTAAAGGTAGAGATCTTATCCAAATATGTCACAGAAACAAGAACTACTAAAAATAGAGGAGCAGCAGAAAACATAAAGAAAGAACAATAGGAGAGCCACAGAACTCAGGGCCTATATTCATTCACATGCCATTGCTTTGAAAAATTCAGCTAACTGGAGTTAATTGACTGCCACTTAGAAATTACAAATTTCAACTAGAAAGTATGAATCACGAGAATGAATAGCAGTAAAGAAATACTTATGCTTTCACTAACATGTTCAGTCACAGACAAAAGTAACTGCATATCAGGAAATGTTTTAATTCAGACAAAGGCTTTGGTGTGTTGCTTTCTTTGTTAGACCAATAATGATAATAATAAGATGATGACAATAACATCAATATAAGTAACAAAACATGATTTACAAGGAAAGTGCATTAAGAAGCAGAGGAAATACAATGGCTTACCGGTAGTGCCATGCAAAATGACATTACTACAGAAAGCCAAACTGCATTTATGGGAACATCTTGCTTGTTCACTTTATGCCACAATGAAGAAAATGGCATAGCCCCATCTCTTGAAAATGCATATGCCATCCTGAAAATAGACAAAAAAAAAAAACAGAAGATCAAATCCACAATTAGGAAGCATATTGACATTTCAAATGAGTAAAATAAGAAAAATTCTTAAAGAAAATGTAGTTTCAGACTGTCAACTTTCGCTTGAGCACTAGAATAGACATATACGCATTCAAATAAATGTAAAGATACAGGAAAATATACAATTAGACCATTTATTTTTGGCACAAGGAGGTTACAATCACTATTGACCGTTAGATGTGAAATCGGGTGGCTGGGGGTGTGTAATTAGTTGGGCACAAAACTCAATAAAACATTTCTCGAACTGCATGACACAATCCTAGCTGTCAGGTTTCACATGCGATGGCTAAGGGTGATTGTGACCTCCTCGTACTAAAAAAAGTGTTCTAGTATACAATCCCATAGAAAAATGACATGTGTGTGTGTGTGAGAGAGAGAGAGAGAGAGAGAGAGAGAGAGAGAGAGAGAGATGGTACCTTGAGTTGCTTGTCACTGAACTCATACCACAGAAAAATATGGCAACAGCTACAACACCCAAGCAAATGATCCCCCCTGTTCCAGACCCAAATCTTTCCTTGAAGGCTAAATAAAATACCTCAGCAATAGCATAACCACCAGCATGATTTTCAGCATTCAAAAGCGATGGAATATCGGTTACTGCAAATGTTATACCAAGTAGGTAAGCCCATCCTACAATAATGGATATACCAATGGCACTTATTATTCCTTTAGGCCCATTCTTGTCAGCATTTTTTGTCTCCTCAGTCTGAAGTACAAAAGGAAAAGGCATAAGTTATCTTCACTCATATCACAAAGTACTCGGTCCCTGACCGAGGCGAGTAACTCGGTTGAGTCAGAGTAGACTCGGCCAAGTTATGTACACCCCAAATAAAGTCTAAAAAAGTAAGAAGAAGGTAAAAGCACCAAAAAATAGTTAAAAATAAGAAAAACAGAGTTAATATAAATCATTAGAAGACTAAAGAGGACGGAATAATCTATAAAGATGGATTATTGAAAAAATTGATTTATGATATATACGTATAAATTGAGATGATTTAAAAAATTATTTCTAACCTATATATTGGTGTTTAATTTCTTTTTTTATTTTTCAACTTATTTTTATGTTTCTTAGGAGGTTTTTGGTACCTCGAGAGTTGGGCATCCAACTTGCCACCAACTCGTCTCCGGTGAGGCCGAGTTGCTCGGCTGAGTCCGAGTGGACTCGGCCGAGTCCAAAAATGCTGCATAAAATGATGAGCATGGGAAACAATTTAGAATGAGAAAAACCAAAATTTTACAGCACTGGGAAAAGGATACTGGGAAATCCAAAGTTTGTCAAGTAAAAGCGAAAAAGAAAGGACTTGGCACAACCATCTTTTTCCATTGTTATATGTGAAAAAAATGGAAAAGAATAAAAAACATGATGAATAACCAAGAGCAGTGCTGAAAAAATCGACTCGGCCAAGGTACTCGGGACCTGGCCAAGGCGAGTTAATTGGGTGAGTACGAGTAACTCGCCCAAGTCTAGCTCTTTTTTTTAAAAGAAAATTAAGAAAAATAATAGTTATATATAATATAAGTTCCTTTTTTATCACCAAAATAAAGAATAGCGTGCTGGTTAGTGCGCCTGGAAGAGGTCTCGAGCTAGATTCTTGGTGGGTGCTTTTTTTGTTTTTGGACAAACAACAAAAAACGATGATGGTCAAACGACAAAAAAAGGTGACGGTCGGGTAAAATATGGTGAAGGGCAAGATTCGAACCCTGAATGGGGTAAAGTATAATCCTTAGCGCTAACAGTAAACGATTCCCAACTATCTGATATGACTTTGTAGTAATATTATAGTTAAAGTTCAAAAATATGGTGTACAACTAACTCGCCTCGCCCATGGGCCGAGGCTGAGTTACTCGGCTGAGTCTGAGTTGCCTCGGCCGAGTTTTAAAACTATGACCAAGAGATAGTATACCCCAAATATGCTACGGAGCCCAGGGACCAGCCCCCAGTCTGCGATACGTTGTACCAGGGCATAGCGCTTTATAAGCACACGTCCCCGTGACACATGTAGCGCCGGACACTGTGTATAGCGAGCAGGCCTGGACGGTGCAGAGGGTGAGAGGGAAAAAAAAAAAAAAAAAAACGAGATAGTATACCATAATCCAATGGACTGTGGATGACCAAATTCCACCATTACCACTCTCCAATTAAACGATTCAATGAGAGTGAAACCCACAAAGCAGGACAAGAACCCCATGGTAGGTGCTACTATTGCACCATCACCGCCCATCATTTCATTGGAGAATGGTGATGGGATGATGATAGGACCCATCATGGATATGGTTTTCCAATTTCCACCAGATTATTGTGTACTTTTCATCAAATAAACTGAAACTCTTATTTTTCTGAAGTAGAATTCATTTTGGGCAATTGAGAAAGAATAAAAGAGAACATCAATTACCATATGTGCTGATGCATCATAACCTGTCAGACTATACTGACTCATTAAGAGGCCCAAGACAAATATATAAGGCCTGCTTTGAATTCCAGCACTATTTTCAGAGTTGAAGTGTGTGAAAACAAACTCTATACTGGCCCTCTTGGTAGCCACAAATGGTATTAGAATCATAAGAACGAAAACACCTGCAAAAAATGTCTGCGATTAGCTGAGAGAAAACGGGGATGCCAATAGATCATGAACTGGGGAAATGGGATAATCTAACCTATATCCCTTGCTGATAAATGTTAGAAATTGTGTACCTGCAAAATTTGATCATAGGACTCGTTCTATAATATTTGGCACCATTAGGGTAAAATAGTCTATTCTACGGACACGCACATCTCCCATAGTGTTCATCCCTTAATTACAGAATACCAGGTGCATCGGTAAAATGACTATTTAATCATTATTATTTCCAATGTGCCATGGGGTTACAAGCTTAGTTCATTCTTTAGGAAATATAGCACGAATCCGAACAAATGGGGATCTATAATTCTTACCTAAGACAAACAGGGATCTATAGTTCTTACCTAAGACATTCCATGCAGCTGCAATCTGCCCGAATAGTGATAACCAAGAGATAGGAAGACAATTCAAAAGTGCATGCAATAGTAGAAATCCACCATGGAAACCTATGACTACATATTTGGAAGCTTGATATCCACCACCATTGGCTCCTCCAGTGCTAAGAAGAATAATCACTTGAACCAATTGTGCAAGAGAAAAATCTACACTTGTAGTGACCGCCCACTGCAAACATATAAGCCATCTAAATTGCTTTGCCAAATACTAGGTAGAAGAATATGGAATAAGAAAACTTGACATACCTGACCAACAATATTGAACCTGCAGGATACCATGTGAAACACAAACTTTCAGCACTCAGGCATGGGAAATCAGATACAAAATCAATTTCCATCAACCAAACAAGAAACTAATAAATACTTGTAGACGAAATCAGATACAAAATCAATTTCCATCAACCAAACAAGAAACTAATAAATACTTGTAGACGAACTTTACAGCCATTAAACATTTATATCACAATATGTTTGCACCATGTATGTGTTTAACAAGTATCATCATCGTAATCATCGTCGTCAAAGCTTTTTCCCAACTAATTGGGATTGGCTACAAGAATCGTGGTCCAGCATTCTGCTCTATTAAGGGTCATACCCTCAGTGAGATCATAAATCCCCATATCTTTTCTCACTACTTCTAACCATGTCCTTTTCGGCCTACCCCTTGCCTTTTTGAAACTTTCACTTGAACTAACCCACACCTCCTAACAAGTTCAAAACTGGGTTTGTGCCACACATTGCTAGCCCACCTAAGTCTACTCTCTCTCATCTTATCACCTATTGGTGCCACACCTAAATTTTTCCAAATGTATTCATTTCGAATTGTATCCTTTCTTGTCTTGCCACTGATCTATCTCAACATCCTCACCTCTGCTACACTCATTCTGTGGGTATATTGTTTTTTGACCACCCAGCATTCCACCAAGAGAGTAAAGCTGGTCTTATAACTGTACTATAGAACTTGCCCTTCAACTTCATTGGTATGCGGCGATCACATAAAATTCCGGTTGCACATCTCCACTTCGCCCACTTAGCTCTAATTTTATGTGCGACATCTTTCCCAATTTCTTCATTTTCTTAGACTATCAACCCAAGATATAAAACGTGCGCTCTTTTTGGTATTTCTTGGGGAAAATGTTGTCCACAGAGATGTCAAGAGCTGGCAAAAGAATGCCTTTTCATTTTTCCTAAATCACATGTCCAAATTAAAAGATAGAAGCTGTCGAACTTTCTATATTAATGGTCACTTAAAAGAAGCATCCCTAGGTAGTCCCTCTAATATGGCCTTTCTCTAAGGGATCTTTCAAGTCAACATGCTTATAAAGTCTTAATAATGCATTTTCACATTTATATAATTTTAGGCTGACATCATCTTCCAAATGTGTTTCCATCATACTGAGAAAACCCCAGATTGAGTTTACTAGGGTTTGACTGTTGCTATGACCTACTTGGTCACCAAACCACCCCTTTGAGACTTTGTAAGCCATATTTCACTCACACATAAGGTTTATTTAGGAATTCTTTTATTATGTTTTGAATCCATAGGCTCTCCACATCATTTCTCTACCACTGCAGATATTTGTTAGAGTAGTTTTAGGATTACCAACCTCCTATAATGGTTTCCTCTAGATTGTTTTGTACATTGTGAATAACAGCTACACTGGTACATCTCTGAAAATATCAAACTGTGGACAAAGTATTTCTCTATGTTTAGAGATTTCTTGAACTTAGGTTTTTGTATCATTCTGTTAAGATTATTCAAAAGATTGGTTTATACGGAAAATATGGCTTATTTTGTGGTTTGATGGTTTCACAATCATTAATGACTATAAGCAAAAATTCACAAATGTAAATGATAGATTGATTTATGCAGCCTAGGACACTGCATACATACCTGAGATTGCAAGGTTTCCCATAAGAAATATATTTTCTCATTTTATATTTCATCATTTTGGATAAAAATATAATCAATGGAAACATATTACGTGATATACATGTACCTCCATTTTTAAACTTCCAAGTCATAGAGCAGAATTTACTTTGTATATGCCAGAAAATCATTACTTCTCTTAGTTAGCAGTTATACTTCTATACAATGAGTATTTTGAAATTGCGTGATTTGGTTCAAGTAGAAGACTCTAAAAGCGCAAGGGGAAGGCACAAAAGGACATGGATGGAAGTAATAAGAAGAGATATGGTGACTTATGGTCAGACTGAGGGTATGGCCTAGATAGAGAAGAATAGCATAATAGGATTCATCTCCAAATTCTTAGGATAAGATGCGGATGATGATGATGAAGTATTTTGATATTAACTCCAACATATACGGTTGTTAGTGAAATTCTCTCATGCATGAGGTATGGCTGTCACAAGTCAAAGAAAGCTAATAGATCAATCTATATTAAGACTGCAAAAATATATGGAGCAGTGAAATAATGATGGAAGTGAAAAACAAGTAATAGCCCACCAAACTAGCAATAAAAAACTATAGAGTGAAACTAATGATACTTTAGGAGAAACACATGAAAGACTAGGACTCCATATTATATACTTGACATCAGAAGCTAGGCTCCTCACTTTATGAATTTCAGTGATATGAAGTTCTCAGTTTCATGGGAGGGAGACAAACTTAAGATAGATGTTGATTCAAGCGTTAAAAGTGGTATGAAAATGTGGAGTTCCGATTGTCAACTCTACCCTTGAAACTGAAATAGACAAATCGAAGTGGAACAACTTCTGAAGTACTGAAATTTCCATGCACACTATTTGTAGAGTATTAGAACTCCCAGAAAGTGAAGAGAAGAAAGGAAACGCAAACTGAATACCATTTTGGGGATAACTCACTCCAGCCAATTTATTCTTAGGCTAGAAAATAGATAAAATGATAAGCTCAAGTACATCAGAGGAAGGTGAAAAGCAATAGTTCCTTAGGAGAAGAAAAAATTGAAAATAAAATAAAATAAATAAAGACCATAGAAGTCAGACAATGAAATAAATAGCAGAGCATGACCCAAAAAGAAAAATAAGAAAAAAGAATATATACTAGCAGGTTTTGTACTGGGTCTACGCCACACATGACTAGCTCACTTAAGTCTATTATCTCTCATCTTATCACCTATTGGTGCCACACCTAAAGTTTTCCAAATGTATTCATTTTGAATTCTATCCTTTTTTGTGTTGCCACTCATCAATCTCAACATCCTCATCTCTGTTACACTCATTCTATGGGTATATTTGTTTTTGACTGCCAAACACAAATTTATTTACATAAGGGGTGAAATATTTAAGTAATTAGCACAAAACAACCATAAACATCTTCAGTTTACAAAGAGTTGCCCTGTAAGGAACCTGAATATGAAACATAGGAACACTAATCATATGTGGATAACATAATTATATGAGGCATGGCATGGAGAAGCGACATTAGAACCACCATTTAGTTTCAACTAGGACCCAAAAGTCCTAGTCTCTAAAAATCAGATAAGAAAGCAAGGCCACCGTGAAGCAAATCGTACCAGTATACTTGAAATCTAGAAACTAAAATGGGTGGCGTCATGAACCAGAGTTTCAGATGAAGAAATGGTTCATCTTAATACAAGCCTCACAACTTACAAGTGTGTTTGCATCTAAAAACTTGATCAAATTCACAATTCTCTTAAATTGAACTCAATACCCTCAAAACCAATTCAAATATCATGTTTTGATGAAAAGAATACGCTTCAACAGAACAAGAGGTTATAAATATTACATGTGGGTATTGATAGGGATCCATAAGCTAAAGTTGGGAGTTGGGACTTGAGACATAAACAGAGAAATGGAAAATTCATCTAAAATATAAAATGCTCCACAAAATCTGCTAAAAATAATCTTCGTTAGGAAATTGAAACTGCCCAATATGAGAAAATGCAAAACAAATAAAAAGAAGAAAGTGAAAAATTACCAGCCAGTGATCCATGAAGCAAAGGGGGCCCAGTCTTTACCAGAGAGCCTAGCACTCCAGTAATAAAGGCCACCAGAGGTTGGGTAAGAAGAGCAAATTTCAGCCATGGACAAACCAACCAACATGGAGAAAAAACCAGCAATCAACCACCCATAAGTTGTAGCAACAGGGCCACCAAAAGTGAGCCCTGTGTTGTAGAGAGTGGTAACTCCAGTAAGAATCGATATAATCGAAAACGAAAAAGCAAAATTGGAGATCACCCTGCAAACCCAACAAAGCAAAAGCCCCAAAACAAAGAAAATAATTTCAAATTCAATATGAAAGTAAAACAAAAATTGTTCTAAAAATACAAAAAAAATTGAAAGAATTCTAGAGAGAGAGGGGGTGAATACGAGAGGTCGCGCTTCAACTCCTGCTTGTATCCGAGCTCATGGAGGCGGGCATGGCCTGAGTCCTGAGCACCAGTCTCCAAAGAACCATTCTCCTCATTCTTCCAAGCCATCTTCAACACTATGGAAGAAGCTTAAAATTCTATTGCATCAAAAGCACCCACAGAATTGAGACACACGCTCTCTTTAGACAGGTGATATAACAACTTTTATAAATTATTGTAGATTACTCTCTAGCAAGTATCTAGAGAGAGAGAGAGAGAGAGAGAGAGAGGTGATC